GGCAGGAATATTAACTTCTACTCAAAGTAATCAGATCCGTAACAAGGATTTTTGGGGGTTTTTATTCATGGGAGCCAGATTTCCAGGAGGGGCTAGGCACCTTGCTTGTGAGTTCCATGGAAAGAGCTCTTGTCAGTGTCAGGAGCAGAGGGGAAAGCACTCTGGAGCTGAAGTATTCTAGAATGTAAATTTTGAATTTCATTTTAATGTTTTATGAAAGAAGGGGTGGTTTGGTTTAAATAGAGAGGGGTTCACTGGAAAATAAGGTTTCTGAACAATAGAAACCCTGTAGTTACAGACCTGTTTGATAAATCCATATAACCACAAATGAACATAAAGATAAACAGTACATTATTTGTAAATTTATATACACTGTACAGAGGTCATACTATCAAGAAGATGCAAAGGTCGAATACTGTCACAAATCAAGTTACTGAATCATGTTGAAATACAACTGTGTGACTACATCCGCTCAAAGACTAAACTCACCGGATCAAGCATAAATCCATTGACACCATTGCCTGAGCTGAGGACGATCATTGTAGCGCTACCATAGAGGGCGTACCCAGCAGCAACCATGGCTCTGCCTGGCTGTAAGATGTTTTCATCTGTTACAGGACCTTCTTTGGTCTGTACATATAAATGGAGAAACAATGAGATATTATAGATAAACAAGTCATAACCATAATTGTGAATTCAAAACTATTCTTGGCATTATGTTGAGAGAATGTGCCACATTACTTACCTGTTTCCAAATGCCAAAAATAGAACCAATCGATACGAGACAATCAATATTTGATGATCCGTCAAGCGGGTCGAAACTGATGATGTATTTCCCCTTTTTCTCTGCCTCAACGACAATACACTTTTCATTTTCCTCTGAGATCAAAGCACACGTTGCAAAGGTCGACTTAAGCATGTTGATGAAGAGATCGTTGGCCAGAACATCAAGCTTCTTTTGTTCATCGCCGGTTGTATTGCTCCCACCAGCTATACCATAACTAAATCAAGCACAGTAAAGAAATATAATTATATAATATGTAAATCTACTTTTTAATCCTTTAAAATTATCGATGGCTTTAAAAATTTGGAAAAACAAGGAACAAATTCAATTAATTTACTGAATAGCTCATTCAAAAGGACCAAATTCTGAATGGAAATTGATTTATTATTATTAAATAATTGATTAAAATTCCATTTATCAAAATTACAGATTGAAACAAGGTACAGTATACAGGTATATGTATTGTTAAACAATTTAGGCTACCCAAAAAAAACAATCTGCGTGCACCATGTTTAAGAGGCAGAATCACTGTTTCATTTACAAAATAGACCACAATATTATTAATTTAGGAAATGGATATTGTTGCGACTGTTGGGCATTAAAATAGCGAGACAAGGTTAGGGTCAAGTCAGCTCCACCAATGATCAATCAGCACCTCTGATTTGTGTAAAATCGCCCAAACAATACCCACAGTATTGGCAGATCCAGGAATCCGAAATAGAGGGGGGCCCATGGAGGGACTTTCACAGATGAAGGGCTGGATGAACACCCCAACACTACCAGGTTTGGGGCTAAGGTAAGAAAATTTATGATTATGGCACCTCAAGATGGCCAGAAATGGCATTCTCAAACTTCAATTTTTCTATAATTTTCTTTTTTTCTATAATTTCTTTATAACTTTGAAAAATATTTAGGGGGAACCAGGCTGGCTTCCCCCTGCCTCTTCATTCCGCCACTGCAGCACAGCATGGATTGGAAAATTAATATTTTTAGTTTGATGACCTCAAGTGGCATCTGACTAAACCTCCTCAGCGGTGGTGCCAGAAACTTGCTGACAAGGGGTCTGAAAAGTCCAACAGAGGGGTCTGAACCGAGGTTCTGCCTAGGGCCTCGGTCGACAGCCCGGAATAAAAGAAACCCGGTATTGTCCACAAGAAGAGTTTTTATGCCTTAGTTTGGTCCAAATTGTGTTTTTGAGACCACTGCAATCAAAATAAAGTTATTTGGAGAGGCAAATTAGGATTTTTAAAATTGTTGATCCGACAGCCAGTCATGGCGTCAGATGACAGGGCTCCAAGCCTGACAAACAGGGAAAATTCTCCTCCCCCCCCCCCCCCCTGGCGCCGCCACTGCTATACCGGCTAAGAAGAGGTGCAAACAGGAGGTGAGAAATATTACAAAAGCACCATAGCCTACTCTTACTATATAATTACAATTTTTCCCATGATATTGTTACTTCCGACCCTTAGG